CTAGTGACTAGGCCTGCCTCATCACAAGTCAACTAGTGACTAGGCATGCCTCATTCCTAGTCAACTAGTGACTAGGCCTGCCTCATCCCTAGTCAACTAGTGACTAAGCCTGCCTCATCCCTAGTCAACTAGTGACTAGGCCTGCCTCATTCCTAGTCTATTAGTGACTAGGCCTGCCTCATTCCTAGTCTACTAGTGACTAGGCCTGCCTCATTCCTAGCCAACTAGTGACTAGGCCTGCCTCATTCCTAGTCTACTAGTGACTAGGCCTGTCTCATCCCTAGTCTACTAGTGACTAGGCCCTGCCTCATCCCTAGTCTATCCTAGTGACTAGGCCTGCCTCATTCCTAGCCAACTAGTGACTAGGCCTGCCTCATTCCTAGTCTACTAGTGACTAGGCCTGCCTGTTCCCTAGTCTACTAGTGACTAGGCCTGCCTCATTCCTAGTCTACTAGTGACTAGGCCTGCCTCATCCCTAGTCAACTAGTGACTAGGCCTGCCTCATCCATAGTCAACTAGTGACTAGGCCTACCTCATTCCTAGTCTACTAGTGACTAGGCCTGTCTCATCCCTAGTCTACTAGTGACTAGGCCTGCCTCATCCCTAGTCTACTAGTGACTAGGCCTGCCTCATCCCTAGTCAACTAGTGACTAGGCCTGCCTCATTCCTAGTCAACTAGTGTACTAGGCCATGCCTCATCCCTAATCTACTAGTGACTAGGACTGCCTCATTCCTAGTCAACTAGTGACTAGGCCTGCCTCATCCCTAATCTACTAGTGACTAGGCCTGTCTCATCCCTAGTCAACTAGTGACTAGGCCTGCCTCATTCCTAGTCAACTAGTGACTAGGCCTGCCTCATCCCTAGTCTACTAGTGACTAGGCCTGCCTCATCCCTAGTCAACTAGTGACTAGGCCTGGCCTCATCCCTAGTCAACTAGTGACTAGGCCTGCCCTCAGTCCTAGTCAACTAGTGACTAGGCCAGCCTCATTCCTCGTCAACTAGTGACTAGCTGCCTGCGTCATCACTAGTCAACTAGTGACCTAGGCCTGCCTCATCCCTAGTCAAATAGTGACTAGGCCGGCCTCATCCCTAGTCAACTAGTGACTAGGCCTGCTCATCCCTAGTCAACTAGTGACTAGGCCTGCTGATCTAGTCAACTAGCTGACTAGGCCAGCCTCATTCCTAGTCCAACTAGTGACTAGGCCTGCCTCATCCCTAGTCTACTAGTGGGACTAGGCCTGCCTCATCTCTAGTCTACTAGTGACTAGGCCTGCCTCATTCCTAGTCAACTAGTGACTAGGCCTGCCTCATTCCTAGTCAACTAGTGACTAGGCCTGCCTCATCCCTAGTCAAATAGTGATTAGGCCTGCCTCATCCCTAGTCAACTAGTGACTAGGCCTGCCTCATCCCTAGTCAACTAGTGACTAGGCCTGCCTGAGTCCTAGTCAACTAGTGACTAGGCCAGCCTCATTCCTAGTCAACTAGTGACTAGGCCTGCCTCATCCCTAGTCTACTAGTGACTAGGCCTGCCTCATCTCTAGTCTACTAGTGACTAGGCCTGCCTCATTCCTAGTCAACTAGTGACTAGGCCTGCCTCATCCCTAGTCAACTAGTGACTAGGCCTGCCTCATCCCTAGTCAACTAGTGACTAGGCCTGTCTCATCCCTAGTCTACTAGTTACTAGGCCTGCCTCATCCCTAGTCAACTAGTGACTAGGCCTGCGTCATCCCTAGTCAACTAGTGACTAGGCCTGCCTCATCCCTAGTCAACTAGTGACCAGGCCTGCGTCATCCCTAGTCAACTAGTGACTAGGCCTGCCTCATCCCTAGTCAACTAGTGACTAGGCCTGCCTCATCCCAAGTCAACTAGTGACTAGGCCTGTCTCATCCCTAGTCTACTAGTGACTAGGCCCTGCCTCATCCCTAGTCACTAGTGACTAGGGCCTGCGTCATCCCTAGTCAACTAGTGACTAGGCCTGTCTCATCCATAGTCAACTAGTGGACTAGGCCTGCCTCATCCCTAGTCAACTAGTGACTAGGCCTGCCTCATCCCTGTCTACTAGTGACTAGGCCTGTCTCATTCCTAGTCTACTAGTGACTAGGCCTGGCCTCATTCCTAGTCTACCAGTGACTAGGACCATGCCTCATCACTAGTCTACTAGTGACTAGGCCTGCCTCATCCCTAGTTAACTAGTGACTAGAACTGCCTAATCCCTAGTCTACTAGTGACTAAGCCTGCCTCATTCCTAGTCTACTAGTGACTAGGCCTGTCTCATTCCTAGTCTACTAGTGACTAGGCCTGCCTCATTCCTAGTCTACTATTGACTAGGCCTGCCTCATCCCTAGTCTAGTAGTGACTAGGCCTGCCTCATCACAAGTCAACTAGGGACTAGGCCAGCCTCACTCCCTAGTCAACTAGTGACTAAGGCCTGTCCTCATCCCTAGTAACTAGTGACTAGGCCTGCCTCATCCCTAGTCAACTAGTGACTAGGCCTGCCTCATCCCTAGTCAACTAGTGACTAGGCCTGCCTCATTCCTAGTCAACTAGTGACTAGGCAGCCTCATCCCTAGTCAACTAGTGACTAGGCCTGCCTCATCTCCTAGTCTACTAGTGACTAGGCCCTGTCTCATCCCTAGTCAACTAGTGACTAGGCCTGCCTCATCCCTAGTCTACTAGTGGACTAGGCCTGCCTTATTCCTAGTCAACTAGTGACTAGGCCTGCCTCATTCCTAGTCTACTAGTGGGCCTGCTTCATGCCTAGTCTACTAGTGACTAGGCCTGCCTCATTCCTAATCCACTAGTGACTAGGCCTGCCTCATTCCTAGTCCACTAGTGACTAGGCCTGCCTCATTCCTAGTCTACTAGTGACTAGGCCTGCCTCATTCCTAGTCTAGTAGTGACTAGGCCTGCCTCATCACTAGTCAACTAGTGACTAGGCTTGTCTCATTCCTAGTCTACTAGTGACTAGGCCTGCCTCATCCCTAGTCTACTAGTGACTAGGCCTGCCTCATCCCTAGTCAACTAGTGACTAGGCCTGCCTCATCACTAGTCTACTAGTGACTAGGCCTGCCTCATTCCTAGTCTACTAGTGACTAGGCCTGCCTCATTCCTAGTCAACTAGTGACTAGGTCTGTCTCATTCCTAGTCTATTAGTGACTAGGCCTGCCTCATTCCTAGTCAACTAGTGACTAGGTCTGTCTCATTCCTAGTCTATTAGTGACTAGGCCTGCCTCATCCCTAGTCAACTAGTGACTAGGCCAGCCTCATTCCTAGTCTACTAGTGACTAGGCCTGCCTCATCCCTAGTCAACTAGTGACTAGGTCTGTCTCATTCCTAGTCTATTAGTGACTAGGCCTGCCTCATTCCTAGTCAACTAGTGACTAGGTCTGTCTCATTCCTAGTCTATTAGTGACTAGGCCTGCCTCATTCCTAGTCAACTAGTGACTAGGCCTGCCTCATCCCTAGTCTACTAGTGACTAGGCCTGCCTCATTCCTAGTCTACTAGTAACTAGGCCTGCCTCATCCCTAGTCAACTAGTGACTAGGCCTGCTTCATCACTAGTCAACTAGTGACTAGGCCTGCCTCATCCCTAGTCAACAAGTGACTAGGCCTGTCTCATTCCTAGTCTACTAGTGACTAGGCCTGCCTCAGTCCTAGTCTACTAGTGACTAGGCCTGCCTCATTCCTAGTCTACTAGTGACTAGGCCTGCCTCATCCCTAGTCAACTAGTGACTAAGCCTGCCTCATTCCTAGTGTACTAGTGACTAGGCCTGTTACATTCCTAGTCTACTAGTGACTAGGCCTGCCTCATCCCTAGTCTACTAGTGACTAGGCCTGCCTCATTCCTAGTCTACTAGTGACTAAGTCTGCCTCATGCCTAGTCAACTAGTGACTAGGCCTGCCTCATCACTAGTCAACTAGTGACTAGGCCTGCCTCATACCTAGTCAACAAGTGACTAGGCCTGTCTCATTCCTAGTCTACTAGTGACTAGGCCTGCCTCAGTCCTAGTCTACTAGTGACTAGGCCTGCCTCATTCCTAGTCTACTAGTGACTAGGCCTGTTACATTCCTAGTCAACTAGTGACTAGGCCTGCCTCAGTCCTAGTCTACTAGTGACTAGGCCTGCCTCATTCCTAGTCTACTAGTGACTAGGCCTGTTACATTCCTAGTCAACTAGTGACTAGGACTGTCTCATCGCTAGTCAACTAGTGACTAGGCCTGCCTCATCCCTAGTCTACTAGTGACTAGGCCTGCCTCATTTCTACTCGCTACTAGCAGCACTTGCCCCTACAGCCCTGCTTGAGGCTACCTGGGGGAGCTTTGTCTGTGTGTGCATCATAGGTGGTGCTACTCGCTACTAGCAGCACTTGCCCCTGCAGCCCTGCTAAGGCTACCTGGGGGAGCTTTGTCTGTGTGTGTACATCATAGGTGGTGCTACTCGCTACTAGCAGCACTTGCCCCAACAGCCCTGCTAGAGGCTACCTGGGGGAGCTTTGTCTGTGTGTACATCATAGGTGGTGCTACTCGCTACTAGCAGCACTTGCCCCTACAGCCCTGCTAGAGGCTACCTGGGGGAGCTTTGTCTGTGGTGTGTGTACATCATAGGTGGTGCTACTCGCCACTAGCAGCACTTGCCCCTACAGCCCTGCTAGAGGCTACCTGGGGGAGCTTTGTCTGTGTGTGTACATCATAGGTGGTGCTACTCGCCACTAGCAGCACTTGCCCCTACAGCCCTGCTAGAGGCTACCTGTTGTTGTTGTGGTTGCTACGATGATTTTGGTAGTAGTGGTGGTGATGGTTGTGGTAGTAGTTGTGGCAGTGGTGGCTGTACTGCTGGTGGTAGTTGTTGTGGTGTCTGTGGTGGTGGTGGCTGTGGTGGTGGTGGCTGTGGTGGTGGTGGCTGTGGTGGTGGTGATGGTGGCTGTGGTGGTGGTGGCTGTGGTGGTGGTGGTTGTGATGATGTTGTTCGAGTCCTGATCTTTCAAGAGAAACCACCAAC